AGTGCTCGCTGACACCTGTGTGCCGCCCCCGCTTCTCAGTGGCATGTCATTCACCCTCTCTCATGTTGACACCAGGACTCTCTGCTGCTGCCTGTAGACATGTCAGCATCTCCCCTTTCTCTTTCTCTCTCTCTCCCCTCTCCTTCTCCCTCTCCGGATAGGATTTTTTTTTTTTTTCCCTCATCTGAATATGAAAGGAATGAAAAGTGACTTTGGCCCTGCTCAGTAGCGCATGATATTGCATTATGCACAATTGACTCTTTGAATTCGCCTACTACTTGACTCTTGAAGAGACAACTTATTTACCTTCGCTGATGTCTACAAGTCTCAGTATATCAGCCAGCTCGTAACTCCTGCCGCTTAATTATCAGATATCATTAGCGTTTTTTGCTCCAGTTATTTATTCCGCCGCGACCTTTGGTGCGCCTCCGGTCCATATTTCAGTCTTATTGTCCTTCCGCCTGCCCTCCATCTATCTGCCTATCAGTGCCTACTGTATCTACCAACCTTTCTGTCATACTTCCTGTCTACATGCGGATACACCTTTACACTAATCTGCACACTTCAGACACCTTCACACCCCCCCCTTGGCATTTCTCAGCAGCTTACAACCCTCAGGCACAGCCACTTTGTAGGGAAGTGATAACATGTCAGCTCTGCCTCTTCCTGGCAATCACACCATGCAGCTCGGTGCTAGCTCCACGCAATCTTTCATAACCCACTCGCACTCAAAGAACAACCTGAGAGGGGGAAAAAAAAAACACCTATGAATAGGTCAGCACAGGTTATCCAGCCCAGCTCCAGACCAGAGTTTTACCAAAGAAGGTACGACCAAAGCCGAACAAAAAATGTCTGAGTGGTACAAATCTGTCACATACAGATAGTCTGGCTTCCTCCACCAGGAAAACACTTGATTGACTTAAGAATTGTAATGCCTTAAGCAGAATGAATTTGGGGATTTCAGTAGGTTACAGAAATCAGCTCGAGTAAAAAATAACATAATGCAAAATTTATCTTCTCTTTGCTATATCAGTTTGATGGACATGATTGTTTGCCAGTTTTTAAAAAAATGTTTATTTCATGTTTGCCTTTCTTATTTAATTATTAATCACTGTGCGTATTATGTTTTGATTCTGACAGTAGGACTTAAAGCTTCCTTTGTGGGAAGTTTTTTGTTGCTTTTTAGTCTTGGGTAACATTTTTTTTCTTTTGGAGAATGAAATATACACATTAAAGCACCAATGGAGTCACCTCATTTAGCAGTTCAGAGGAAACCATCATCCTAATGATCAAGTTTGAGCTGTTTGAAGACTCGGTGAATCCAACTTGGAGCGAAATCACAGAGAAAATAGTAAAAGAGGTTTAGGATGACAAAATGAAAATGTGCTTGCATGAGGCACATTGCCTTTTGCTCGATGAATTTGGAGCTTCAATGGCTTATGCTGCAATTTCGGTGCGGTCTGCGGGGGGATTTTCAAAGCGATTGTGTCACTTGCATTGGAGGGTCTCTCTACCTATTAAACTCACCCTGGTGTGTTTATTGCTTGCTTCCACCTCACCTTTAGTCAGGTTCCATATTGAGGTCCAAATTGGTTATTTTCTGGCTGCAGTCACTGCCAAGAATGGGCTGAGCAAAAAACCCAGCTTTAGGCCTTGAGACTGCTACACAAGGGTGATACTAGATGGCTTTCATGTCATAAGATTAATTAAAGTATATGTAGAGAGTACTACTAATAGAGATGGCAAGGCTGATTTCTTTTGTGACTCTTTTACAAATTGACCAACTAAAGAATGATTTAATGATGCAATATTGTCTGTAAGATCCACTACAACAAATAAAAATAGCATTGCAGCAAATATTGACAGGGATTTTTTACAAAAGGCTGTAGGGCAATGTGCAGTAGCCTATGCAGTAGGCACTTAACCTTTTGACCCGTAGTCTGTTGTGAATAACCACACTCCAGTCGAGAGAGCACAGTAACCTATATCGTACACAGGGTTTGTGTGTAAAACTTACTCTCAGCCAAGGCTGCTTAAAAGCAAGAGAGTTGGGAAAAACAGTCTCATCTGTCCAATGACAGCCCTATTTCTGGGCTGCTAATCTGCAGGACAGACACTGGATTGCTGAAAAGTGTATTGGAAGGGAAGGCACATACATTTAGTGACAACCATCGTGTTACCCTTGGTTCCGGTGAAAGGCGCATTTCTGTGGCTGATTTAGAGTCGCATTTTGGGCTGTGGCGCACCTCACTATGCTGAGATTGTTCAAGGGCTCGCCTCTGTGTTTTTGTCAGCCTGTTCCTGAGCCAAACAGGTAATCTACTTATGTGAAGGCCACGTTAATGAATTGGTTCCCATCACTGTGGAGCATGGTGCGGCTTCATGCTCTTGGATGCAGCAGAGACGGCAATTACTCAGTGACAGCTCAATTGTACATCTAGGGGGAAATTGAACAGAAATCATTTAGTATTATGCAAATAGCGCATTATTCACTGTGTCAATAAGGGCACTGTATTTTTTTTTTCCTGAAAGGGTTTTGTGAGCACATGCAGTTCAGTTATTTTGCTGCAGCATACACTCCACAATATTATCTCTATGGATGGTATGCTATATCATCCTCTGTACAAGAGGATGGCTCCTATTTTCCAGATTTATTCTCAATCTGAGATGTCCTTGGGGATTGTTTGTCTCCAGAGACAGTAACCATAGCCACCAGGATGGATAGACGGGGCTTTTTTGTCCTTCGTGAACGTACTGTTTGCACCTTTGTTTGCCTCTAAAACTTTGAGAGAGGTAAACACAAATTCTAAAGTGACTCTTGTACCTGCAAGCTGTCTGAAAAGTTTCTGAGTGAGTTGTTTTACTCCAGTGAGCAGCAAAGACAGGGTTATTTATTGTTTCAAAACCTATGTATCCTTTCAGCAAATATACTTTTTTTTTTGTTTCTGTGTTGAATGAAGTCCTTGTTGCTCTTCATCTTCACTCTGATAAACGGCCTCAATCTTCTCTGTGGAACCTCGTACAATTGCAATCCTGTAAGGGAAACTTGCTCTGTAGAATTACATTAAACCCTGTGGAGAAACCAAGACTCACTTCTTTTATGTCGTTGAAGGTGCTGGAATTAAGGGGTCAGGAAAGGCTAGAGAAATTACAGCACTGGATAATAATATCAATACTGTTACAAACATGGGCTGGAGGCGTCTAATCGCCTCCACTCTATGTTCATAACTCAAGACTGCCAAGATAGCTTCTACTCCCCAAAAATACCCTGTAACATTGACATTAACTGTATAACAGACTCTGACAGTCACAGATTATGGTGTGTGAATATTACTCCCACAACACTGTCACAGATTTCTTACTGCTGCAGTGAATAATAGTCAAACTTTAAATGAAAACTGCAATAGAGGCAGGCCGCCATGCATGCACAAACACATACGCGCACCTCATATACCCGAGATGAGAGAATAAGCGAGAAAAGCAGTCACAGTATCACAAGAGGGTGTCACAGTGAGACGACATTATCAGCTTAAATCATCCCTCACCGACGCACTACCAAGACAGGGTTCCCTGCTATTTATGGCTGCTGTAATTTCTGTGAAGAGTGGTGACAATCATATCTGCTGGATATGATTACACACTTGTATGGCTGATAGTCAAGCGAAGCCGTTAACTGTTTTAAAGTGTAAGTTATCAGAGTGAAAACATGCAAATCTTTTCACACAACAATTTGTGTTACATTTGATGTGGAATATTTTTTTTGAATGTTATTTTTATAATGATTACAAAACCACTTGCTTGGCAGTTAACTTTTGGGTGAAAGGTCTTTGCTCAGATTTGCTCGTGTAGCATCGTACTGAAAGAGGTTGATGCATTAATGAATAAATGAGCAAATAAAAGTTAAGGATTTACACACCCACCGACTTAGCAATGCAAAATATATTCACATTTTTAGTGTTTTTATTCATTTTTCCCTTTCATTCTATTTTTAAGCAGCTTCTCCTGGTCAGGGCTAAAGCAGCCGGACCATCAAAGTAGCCCAAACATGCTTTATTCCTGCAGCTCTTTCTGGTTAAAACCCCAAGCAACCCTCTTCAGAAGGAGAGCCCAAACAGCTCAGCGGAATTTCTTCAATGCAAATGAACAGCAGGTTGACGGCAGAGATTCCCTTGCATTGTCAAGTTCTTTGCTCTTTGAAGTGAGGCTGACCACGCTGTAGAGAAATCTCATCTTGGCTGATTCAGCCTATCATAGCATCACAACCCTGGGTCATTATGCAACCCAAAGTCTGCAACCATAGCTGACAATTCAAGCAGCGGCTGATAGAAAAATTGAACGATGAACAACAAAGCTTTGCTCCACCGCTCAGCTGCTTCTCCTGCGTTTTCTTTTTTTCCTAAACTACAATGCACTCCCCTCAAGGAAAATCGTGTTCTTAATCATTTACCAGGGGAGGAATAAAACACCCTGAGGGTTAACCCTGGTGACTGGCCATGGATTGTGATTTACATCTTTTTCACACTCATCAAACTAGCGACCCCCTTGTGCCCTATAGATGGATGCATTGTCATCCTGGAGGAGACCGCTCCATCTAGGATAGAAATGCTTCATCACAGGGTGAAGCTGATCACTCAGAACACCTTTGTATTGATTTGCAGTGACCTCTAATGAGAGAAGTGAACCCAAACCATGCCAGAAAAATGCCCCTCACAACATAACAGAGCCATCAGAGCTCCTCAGTGTAGGAGTCAAGGGTTCAGGTTTTTACTTTAATTTGTCTTTCATCTGTATATATTATACACACATATCTTGTAGCCTTAATGTCCACCTTTCTATACTGTACAGATGACCCCTCTTTTACCTTTGATGGTGTTTTTTGATGCCCTTGCATCTACGTGATGTGCATATAACTTTCTCCCTCCACTCATCTCATCATTCTGTACTGTACCTGAGATATTGCAATGCTGTTTGGCTCATGATTTGTGTCAATGTCTTTCCAGGTTTGCTCCAGTTAGTGAGCTGGCTCCATTTGGCACTCCAGTGGGGACGATACTGGCTGCTGCTATCAATCAAACCATCTTCTACTCCATTGTGGCAGGAAATGAACTAGGTACGGCCTGCAGATTATATACCACGCAGAGATTTAATCCTAAGTGAATGTTGTTTGTCGGTTGTTGTTGTTTTGTTTTTTTTTTATGTTAAAAAACAAGATATTTTATTTCCCAATGCTCCCTGCAAAACAATCAAATTATGACAAAGGCTTTGTGTTTGAATACAAAGCCTTCTTATCTTGGGTTTTTTATATATTTTTCTATATAAAACAGAGACACCTTTTGTGCCAGTCTGTCAACTTCTACTTTAGCTGTAGAGAAAGAAAGTGTTTTTTAGGAACATGAAAATGAAATTCACATTTTAAAACACTCTTGAAAAAGCACCTAGATTATTTTGAAAAGCTGTGGGTTGCACATCATAGCCATAGGTGCTGTTTATAGAAGTCTGTCTTTGTGTAGACGCAGAGAAGACATTTTGGCGTACGTGCTGCTGTAGACTGCTTTTCACACTCGCTGGCAAAAGTCTGAAGAGCATAATTACACCCAGGGAGAGAGAGGGAGAGCGCCGAGACAGGTGTTAGCCCAGGAGGTTAGCTCAGGTTTATCAGCCCAAAGTAGGAGACACATGTGTGTGTGTGTGTGAGCTGGAGAGAGAGCAAAGCATGTAGAAGGTAGCTGTCAGTCAGTAGCCCCTTCTCCACAGGCAGCTTCAAGAGCTCCTGCAGTGAGCTGTTTCCGCTGAAACTGGAGCCAGAGTCGCTATTACAGAGATGCTCCTGGAAATTACAGGCTCAAGACCTATTAAAAGTGCTACACATCTATCTGCAGATCTCCAGCAGTCGTATAGTCAGGGAAAGCAAAGGTATTCTGAAGCCTGACAGGTGAAAGGAGAATGCAGTCAGCCACATGTATTTCTGTGATGATTCCTTTGTCGGTGCTCCAACAATCGTTCAGCTGCAGGAAAAGAAAAAAAAAAAAAAGCTTAAAAGTCCATATTTAAGCAGGCTCTATTGGTATTCAGAACGCTGTTTTGTATGATTTCCTTTTTTTGTCCCATGACTCTCTTTTCCTCTAGTGCTGCCACTCAATGCGCTGGTGTTATTTAGAATTTTTCTATACCGCGTGTGAAGATTTTCAGCTGTTTTGGCATCTGGAGAATTGAACTCAGTACTGTTGCAGGTTACGGTAAAAATGTTTTACTGAGCTCTGCACTTGAACAATTGACCGTGACGAGAAAAGAACAGTGTAGGAGTACAAATAAACTCCATTTCCATGCAAACTTGGAGTACAATCAGTGCTAACACAGCCAAGTAACTGAACTATGCAACTAATCACTACTTTGTCTTACTTTTGTCTTTATATATTTCAGCTTCTCACACTTGCTCTGTTTTTATTTGGTTCCAGGTCATTTTCAGGTGAACAACAAGACAGGCGTCATCTCCACAGCAAAACCGCTGGATTATGAAAACGTGACCAGCTATGTCCTCAGGGTCCAGGCCGATTCTATGCTGGTTGTCATGTCCAACCTGCGTGTGCCTTCTAAAAGTGAGAAAATATCAGCCATTAAGTGGGTGAATGTGGAGGTTGTGCTGGAATTCAGGGCTGAAATTATGTTTCATTTGATTCCAAGTACTGCATTTATATTTAATCATAATCCCTCACTGTGACTGGTTATGGTTAAATACAGTTGTAGAAATGCAATCAAAGCCTATTTTTATCCTTGAAATTTATTTTCACATTCATTGCATTTATGTAGGGTTATTTTGCGTTATGCATTTGTATAAATATGTAGATTATTACATGCTTAATGCAGCTTTACAAGTGAGAAACTGAAAAGAAATGCCAAGAGTTACAGAAATAATAAAGCTTCTTTCTTGCCAACAACTTTAAAATGAGTACGCTCGCTCACAGAAACTCAGTTTATTACAGTTTTAGATGTCAGATCAATTTGAATCTAAACAAATGAAGCATGCCACTTTATGTTAAACTGTATTTTATGCTTTATTGCCTTTATTTACTGCACTGACCCATCTGTATAGTTGGTGGCAGGTTGCCTGCAGGATGTGATTGGTTGTTCAGTTTCACATGCGATTCAGCCTATCGACGGATCTGACTCATCTTTCAGTGGCGATTATTGAAAATAACCTCTAAAATATGACTTGTCCTGGCTTCAACGCAGCATGACAGTCCGAAAATATCACAAAACTTTGCCCAAATTCGCCACAAGGGTTTAACGATGGAAAAAATAGGCCATTTGTTTTAATTCAGGCCGACTACCCCTAAAACGAGGGTGGGTGACAAAACATTAATCATAACAAACTCTCGGTTAATGGAGCTAGTGTGTGTTCCCGTTCTTGAAGCCTCAGTGTGCTTGAAACTAACTATAGATTGCACAGTGTGCTGGTGGACAATGGTGAGTAGAAGATGGGGCCAAAAAACCTGCTGTCACAGCTTCATCCTTTTGCACCCCACTGCTTCTCCGATCTCTCTCCAAGCATTCGCTGTGTGTTGTCGCAGTCTGGGCACGATGAAGTGTGTGATTAAGATAGCCTCTCCTCTTTCATAGCGTCGTGCTCAGCTATACACACAAAAGGTGACAGAAACTCAATTTCAGAATTCCTCAAACCTGCCCTCGCTGTGTAGAGTGAGCACCATTGTTGGGTTATCTGCTTTGGAAAGTTGCTTAAGTTGTTGGATGCACTCACAGTAGAGTTTTCATATGCCTCTGACCATTCGAGCAGCACTTTGCATGAAGCATACTCACAGACTTTAGGCCGCGTTGTTTGTCATGGACGTGCTTCAGCCGGAATATCATTAGGCTTGTTTATGGCCTGCGAAGTGACATGCAAGTTTTGTATAATGATGGATGAAGTGATAACAACAGATGGGCTCCAATGAATAATCAATGACCTCCTCTACCTTCCTCTCTTTTTTTCTCTCACCCCGAGTCCCCCACATTATAATTACAGTAATTACAAGTACACAGTACTCAGGCACACACACACACATACATGCACCCCACTTGTTTGATGGATATAGAGTAGAGGACTCTTTAGGCTTTTCTCAAACCGTAGCCTCTTCATTTTCACTTCGTCACGGAGTTGTAACTTTGTAGTCACACTCACAGCTGAATGAAGCACCCTTCATTAAGGTGCAGGGTATAAATACAGCGGCAAGCTTCGGAATGAATTTCATTCTCTCTGGTGGAAACATAAGGAGGAAAGTAAAACTTACTCCCAAGCTTTGGTGGTGTTTTTTTTTTTTCTTTTCTTGCAAACAACTTCTAGTTTTTGTTGAGTTTTTTTTTTTAACACCGTTAAGCTGCTTAGTTTTTGCCTCAGTCCCTGTAAATATACACTGTGTAGTCTCCACTTTCCCGGTTTCTAGACTAGAGAAGGGTATATTTGATCCTAAACACAGCGTAACCTTTACATTGTTGATGTCTGTGTTCTTATAACTACACATATGGGCAGTCATGCAGAACCTAATTTGTATGAAGTGTCTTCCATGACAAACGCAGCACATCGTTTCATGTTGTTGGGAAGTCAGCACTGATGTAGACACACTGTTGGAGGTTCTTGTAACCCACTTCCATTTCCCGTTAATTGATATGAGGTGGCACTTAACGCAGTGGACCCTCCACACGATTGCACCAACAGAGTGGAAGTGGGTAGGGGGTGGTTGAGGAAAGCTCTTGCTCACACAAGGGCTGAAGCTTCAGTGGCGTCTATAGGTGGATGTACTGTTTTGGCCGAGTGCACAGAGGCTGTTTCTTTACTAGCTTGTCTTATTGTAATGCAGATCATGGCTTCTTGACAGGGAACATCTTTCTTCTAATTAATCTATTTTTATTGAGTTTACATTATCAGAGCAATAGTGGATGGATTTGTCAGCTTCTCTTTGCCCCCCCCAGCACTTGTACACTGTATAAGTACCCGCATGGTCAGTACGCACACATGCATAAACAGCCATACAGTGCGTGCACATATACAATAATCCAGCAGAGGACAAGATTTAATGAAATGTTTTCCAAATGATAATGTACTTTTAAGGTGCACTCAAACCCAGCCTGCCTTTGAAGCAATACCCTCCTCTTAATAGGCCTGTTTCTTTCATGCATCTTTATGAGTGTGAGTGAGAGTGGCGAAGGGGAGGGACTGTATTTATGTTTTTTTATGCCCCGATACTTCAGGGATGGAATATAGCCACTTTCTACAAAGAGAAGAGAGAGACAGAAACTCTGCAGACCTCTTTCCCATCCCCTCGAGCCTCCCCTCTGCGCCTCACACTACAGCTTTTGTGCCTGTAATTTGATGTGCTGTGTTTTGTTTGTCCAATTCCCCCGGTGCATCCTTAGCTCCAATGGCCACATGACTTTACATTTTTGTATCCCGCCAGAAGAAAAATGGTCGTTGACACTGCATATTTTATTCCTAAACTGCAGTGTTGGAAGGATTTTGCGCCGTATGTATTTATGCTGCACATTGCATAGGTGTAACTGTGACAAATTAGGGGGACGGATGCTTATACTCAGTATATGTGTTGTTGTTTATTTTCTTTTTAAAGGGGCAGAATGAATATTTGAAAAGCCTCACAAAAAGGCCAGTTAACCAGCAAATTTAGAATTAAAATACCAAACTTTCTGAGGTTTTCCCCTCTCACAGGGTTTCTATTAGCTCCAGGGAAACTCTTGCTGCGAGGTTTTTGGCTGCCCTTCAAATAATTATTCCCAATAATGTGCAAAATGCTTGCCTGTTCAACTTTTAGAGCCCTTTATTGATGGTATTGTTGTGCACTAAGTCAAGGAGAAAACAATCTTCTCAACAGTAATGATGCAAGGTAGACCCTGACTTAAAAATAATAGCTTCGAAGGCGAGATTTCATCATTATTTTTATTATTTAACAGAGCTATATTCCACTCAGAGTGTGAGTGTTATCACTGATTGATTGGTAAACAGAATGCAAACTGGCCCGGTTGTTTTCCCGATCTACTTACGAGGGCAGTGAGGGAGGAGTCATCAGCATACTTCACGTTCAGTTTTTTCTTCATGCAAGAGCTTCTGCTGTAATCAAAACAAAATTAGCCTCCTCATTATTGACTCAAAGTCGTCAGCTTCACCAAAATAGCTTTGCACGCCGTTTCATTAGAAAGGGTTGAGTTAAGAGTAAGAGAACGTGTTTCTCTTTTCAGCATGCAATTACAAATCCACTTCAAAAAGTTATTGCAGTGCAGCTGAAAATGACTCTTAAATGGAGAGAGGTTTTCCAAAGCTCACTCAGTTTACTTTTAGCCAAATGAGACCAAGAAAATTGTGTTTCGAGAATCTGTCCACGTAAACTATTTTCCATCAGATTTCAAAGGCTAGGTGAATCTGATTGCGTATTTTCCAAATAAAAAAAGAAAATTATTTAAAAATTGATCAAAGCACTCTTCTTTTAAATAAAGCATTACTTTATTGCCGATGGTTAGCCAGTGGCATCTTATTTGAAAAAGTTTCGTTGACCTACTCTGATGTTTTAAGAGATAAATAACTTTTTTTAGAAATGATTTCAGGCTGTCTTTTGAAGTTGTAAAGCAGCTGATGACCATGAAAAAATTATTCTGACGCAGCAATTTTAAAGCCAAATTATGTAACAGTTGATCGTCACCAGTTTGGATGATTGAATGAGACGTGTTGATTTCTTCTTTTGACTGTTGATGATATAAACTTTCTAAGTTTGTGTCCCAATTCTAAATTTGTGCGAGTGCAGCAAACCTGGCTCATCAGTTACATGAAAAGGTACATTGAAATACACAGACTGCAGTTAAATGCAATGCGATTGTTCAACATGACCAAAGTAAAGAGGAGGTAGGCTTTATGCTATGCTGCACTAGATCTATACTGGTGGCTAAAGTGACTGTCTTCTGCCGGACTTGAATACATTTCGGTGCCATTTGTTTTTTCCAGCTAACACAGCGAAGGTGTTCATTGAGGTGCAGGACGAGAACGACCACCATCCCGTCTTCTCCAGGAAGCTCTACATCGGCGGCGTGACGGAAGACACCAAGATCTTCAGCTCTGTGCTCAAGATAGTGGTAAGAAAACATCAGCTCTGCTCTATGTTTTTGTTGGTTTTTCGATCAGCATATACATGGAAACATGCTGAAACTGAAACGCTTGATTCTGCTTCCACCTCTTCAACACCTTACCCTACAGCCATGGCGGGGGGGGGGGGAGGAGGAAGAATTCATTCGATGTGCTCTGTGCAGCACACTCTGATCTCCCCTATCGCTGCATCTCTTCGTCAGTTTCGCTCTCCCCACTGTCTGCCTTGTCCACGAGCAGGTGGGATCAGAGTGAGCTGAGCGGTGTAATCCCAATATGTTCACAGAGGCATGGCTAGACATCCTGTCTGATTATCAGCCTGATCTGCCAAGAAGGTTTCACTTTGTCATCCTGTGCAATACACTATGTGTCCATTTTCTGTGTACTTGTGATGAGTGGCTGTCAGTGTACCATTAGGTTTGAGGTTGTGTATTAAACCCCCGAGAACCAGTGCACGCAATGCTTGGCTGCAAAAAATAGATAAGATGCAGCTGATACTAATGTTGTTATATCTGGGTTCTGGGTCAACAGTAAAACATTAAAACATATCTGGCACATGCCATTAAACATCATATCACTAACTAAAAAGATGACCTGTTTTTTCTTGGTTTTTTTTTCCGTAGCCGTCTATAATCCGATTTGTGAAATATGTGTTCCTATGATTTGTATTATTCATGTTCCCTTTGGGGACACAAAGAAAGTCAGAAAACCTACACACACCCAACACAGCTCTTTTGCCGGTGCCCGAACAAAAAAGAGAAATCTTCATAGCAAGAAAAAGGCAAGGTCTACACACTGCTGTGCTCCCCCCTAACAATATTGATAACTGCCGAGCAACATTGCAATCAATAAAAACTTCATTGGGCAGCTCCTCACGGCACAAAGGCAGGCACTATTTGTGCCGTAACAAATGCCAGGAAATGATCTTAGTTAGAAAAGAAAGTTCTCATAACATGCATAATTAAATTTTAGGGTAAAGAGCTGAGTGAGTAGTGGAGAACGGTTAAACTCCAGGAACGGAAACAGCAAAGTGATTATGTAAAAACTGAAACTTAACACGGGGTTGCAAATTATGGTATCTTTCCTCAGTAGCTCATCCTTTTTGGAATCATAAATGATGCGGAGGAGCTGGAAATAATATCTGATTGACAGTGTTAATTGTTCAGGTCCTTTAAATATTATAAAATGCATTTTGTGAAAGCTCAGATGTGACACTGAATCATCAATACTGTGAAGTGGCTTAAAGCACCTAACCAATTCAGAATCCTTTTTTTCTGTTTCTACTTTAACTTAGTAAGGACGTCAAAGTGTAGAATTATGACTTAAGTGCTTTGTGTGTTTTCGCAGAGGTCAAGGAGTCTTTGGAGTATGTATAGTGTTTGTACCTGACTTCACACAAAGCTGAGTGCCTCTTTGTCTTCCTCAAGATGCTACGATATTAACAACTAGAAAAGAATAAATAACATATTCTCACAGTTTGGACCTGCTGCTGTTTGACTCTCAGCCAGAAGTAGGACAGTCTCATAGCATATTCACAAATAGTTGGACGCAGTAACTGGCAGATATTCTTCTGCAAGCAAATCAACTTTCCAAACAGTGTTTGCTTTATTAGCTACTAAAGTGTAATGTCAGTGGTGCGGAAACGTTAGGAGGAAGATATTCCATTCACAGTGTTAAAGTGTGCTGTTTAGAAGAAAGGTCTGATTACATGATTGCATGCTGCTTTTGTGTGGAACTTACTTACCTGCGTTTTAATTAGCAAGTAAAAGGATTCATGGTTCATGTCACTTTTATTATCTCCCCCTGACTGCCTGAGCTTTTGTGTTAAACAGAGAGAATGGCTTTGTGGGAGATGCCTTAAGCTCTTCAAAGCTCTTTTACAACTTTATTCTTTGGTGTTCTGAAAAGATTTTAATATAGGCTGAACCACTGGGATGCATGCATTTCCCCCTCACTGTCTTACTGCATCTTGCAAACAAACCTCACTTAGTGACAGTGTTTTTTTTCCCCTCCGGGTCCATAAAACCTGTAACGGTTTGCCCTACATAAACGATGCCGGAACATATATTTGGTCAGATTTTATCCAGTGAGGATCTTTCACTCTTGTTGATTTATGCAGTCCGTTCATTGGGACCTTGCCCCCCCGCCTCCCCACCACCAACACTCAACCCCTCCTGTGTCGATACCTGGAGGGGAAAAAAAAAGAGATTGCTCCTATTTATCAGTGTCACTCGCCACAGACAGGCACTCTGAAAATTGATGCCTGCGTGTGAGCTCAGTGGCCAGTCAGAACTTATGCCTCAGAGGTCAGTGGGAAAATTTTGTCATCTACGAGAAAAAGTGGTTCGACATGATTCATACGTTCATTGTTGTTTTTGACAGTTAAATAGTTTTTGCCAGTTATTTTCTTGCTTTCATTAAAGAATTACTAAAGAAACATTCTTCCCAGTTTCAATATATGTAGTCAGTGTTTGTTTTTTTTGTTGTTTTTTTTTTTATCCTAAGAATGTCTCCGATGTTAATTTCAGGTTTCTTTCTTATGTGATAAACCCACAGAGAGCTCTGCTGCTGCTCTTGGCTTTATTCAGTTTTATAGCAGATTTCCAGCTCATTGTTTAGCTGTCCAGCCACAACTTCACTGTTTTGTCTCACTCTCACCACTTTCATAGTCTCCTTTCTGACCTCAGCAGGCAGCTGTTTTTAGTGGAAACCCTACTGCAGACTATCAGGTTAGCACCACAGTTAACAGCGAGCCGGTGCAAAAATAACCGAATGCTTAGTAGCTAAAGAGCCCTCAAGAGCGTGTAGAGATCCAAAACAGAGGTAAAAGAGAGCAAACAAAGTCCTGACCTTTGCCAGAAATTTAGACCCACTACACCAATTGAATATTGATATAAATATTGTGTGAATAAGCAACCTATTTGCTAGTACGTCTTCCATGTTTCATTCAATGTGGAGAGTTGCTCCAAAAATGTGTTATAATAAATTAAAAGAAACGAAACAATTCAGAAGTCATTATTAAGAAGCTTTATGGCAATTCATGGAAACCTTGTCATCTCTTTAGTGTTCAAACAGCAGGTAACAATGGGTAAAGCTGCTACGGCGTGAAACAAACCACTTGAGGTGGAGATAACTTATGGGTCTCCAGCAGCAGCTCTTTTCCATCTTGTCAGCTACTTTTACAGAACACCTGCGTGGAATAAAATTCTGAGCAAATATCTCTCCCAGTAGGAGAACATCACTTAAAAGCTCCACTCTTGTACCTCTTGTTTTTAGTCATCAATGAATTGTTAAGGAAGAATGTGCCGAGCTTTCCGTGGTTCACACTCCAGTCACCAGTAGTTTAACATAACACTGGAGTGGTCGTCCTTCAGTAATCCTACATTATAAAATAACATAACACCAGAGGGACTAATCATAGATGCACAAACGGAAACGCTGCCCTAAAGAGAGAAAAAAAATAACTGCGCTAACCTCCAGTTATATAACCAGACAGCTCTTATGATCTGTGAGGAGAAAATTGTTGTTCTCATTTGCCATGTGGCTGCAGAATAATTTTATGATAAAGAACATGCACCATTGAGGTCTTTTTGGGGTCAATCAGCAGTGAGTCATACGAGGTAGACTATTGTTGTTCTTTCCCAGTTTCACTGATATTACAGCAAATGTCAAAAACAAAATATTTTCTTTGGCATCTCTGATTGGGAAGTGGACAGAAGTGCAAATTGCTCAGAACCAAACAGCCTACATGATGGTCGAGAGCTCAAGCAGTAGCTGCCTCAGGATGTATTAAAATATCTGAGCACAAAGTTTACTTTTTCTCATAAGACATCATTGTCTGATTAAATATTTCGTCTTGTTTTCATCATTTGGAGCACTGACATTTTCCTTGTTTTCTTGTGCTTCATGTGATTTACAGGCAACCGATAGGGACACTGGCAACTACAGCGCCATGGCATACCGCCTGATTATCCCACCCACAGCCGAGGGCCAGGACAGCTTCGTCATCGAGACCTACACGGGTATCATCAAGTCGGCCATGATGTTTCGAAATATGCGCAGGTCATACTTCAGCTTTGAAGTTATTGCCACGGATGACTACGGAAAAGGTCTTAGCAGCAGTGCCGAAGTGGTGGTGAGTGTCCGGTGTGATGCTTTTTATAGTGGGTGTAGAGATCAATAAATACATGCACTGATCAGCCACGCTGTTAAAACCACTGACACTTGAAGTGAATGATATTGATCATATTGTGTCAATGTAGTGTTCCTGTTGGAACCTTAACCAGCAGGACAATACACCCTACCACACAACGAAACTGCTCAGAATGGCTTGAGGAACTCGACCAAGAGCCCTGGACATTGATCCAGTATCTGTATGATGTAGTTTTAATGTTGTGGCTGATTGTACAGCATGCACATATAGTCCTTGCCACATACGTCACACATGTATGTCACCACCTCCTTTTTTATTCATGGCGTGACTTTTTATATTCTTCCATTGTTTTTTTGAGAATCTTCTTGTAATGTCTTATTGCACAGCATGAGGAACAGTCACTTTGCATTTCACTGCACGCACTGTATGAGCAGGTGACAAACACAATCTCTTAAATCTTGAATCTCGAACAAGCACATCAGAGGCATAAGGATTGCATGTTGTGGGGATTCCACAGTTTAGTATCTCTGCAGAGAGTGATGCGTTAGGATATAACAGGTTCCCAATCTCACCTGTCTACGATTCAGCAACTCAGGAGAGCCTCATTAAAGGGGCATTCAACCAATTTTAGAGTTAATTTAGTTGTCACTGGGGAGTGCAGCACTGCCTGTGACATCTGTTCTCTAATGTCTTTCTGTGACTCCGGAGGAGGTCGGTCAAGTCTGAGAAAATGACTCAAGTGACAAGTTTAGTACTCTTGGATTTGACTTTTGGGATTTTTAAAGCAAAAGTTTAACATTTTGGAAAACACATGTGTTGGCTTTCTCATAGAGTTAGATCAATAATGCCACTCTCCTAACTGGAAACAGTGGGAACAATCTAACCTGGTTTGCATAAAGGTAATATAATCCACCTACCACCACATCTTAAGCTAATCAACACATTACAGCTCATTTGTTTAATTTGTTTCAAAACCCTTTCCACAGAGGGTTATATTTCCGACTGTAGAACGGAGATTCAAAATGTCACATTATTCTTTTATAGAAAGTCTGCATTATGAAGTGTGGTGTTTGAAGGAGCAGGTAAGGAGGATAGCATGAAAGGAAGTGTAATCTCCAAGTGCTTTGAAGCTAAATCTATACAAGGCAGTGATTGGAAGTCAGGAAATCTACCTCCTGCTGCGCTGATCTCCACCTTTATTTTTTCTCTCTTATTATTGCTTTATAGAAGTACAATACTAAATCACAGAAGAGGTGCTTGAACATCTTATTTGTTTTCATAGCCTAAATTACTGTGTAAGTGACATTTCAGTAGGATTATCTGTCCTGATTTAAACCAAAGGAACTCTTCGCACATCTATTTTATGAGGCAGGTGCGTAGGAGAGGGACGAGCGCATCCAAAAGATTCAGACTCCCAGACACTGTCTGACTTGCAAGGATACATTTATTGGCCCAACATTTTGGTACTAGACCTTCATCAGGCAAATTGTTTGGTACAAAGCCAGAAGACATCATTTAAGATGGTGTCTGGCTTTGAATAAATGTATCTCTGCAATTTAGACAGTGTCTAACTTTGTATCTTTGCACTTTAGATAGTGGAGTCAGTGGAAGTCTGTTTGAATAAGTAGGATTTCAGTATAATGTTCAGTTTTTTAGTGGTAATTTGATCTTTTGGAAACTTTCTGAAGTACATACTGAACATGTACTTCAGAAAACTGGTATTATCTCAGACAGAGTTCATTAGCAGGTCAGATGATCTTAGTTGAAGAGAAACTGAACAATAAGAAAGTCAAAGTTATCATTTGGTATTGAGAGGAAGAAATATATTTGTGAAGAAAACAAAACAGCAGTGCAATGTTTTGCAAGAGACATAAAAACCACTGATATTTTTCATAGAGAATTCATAGTATGGTGTGAGGATTGGTGAGTGATTCAGAGCGAACCTATTTAGTGAGATTAAGGTAAATAAAAGAAAAATAATGGTGACAAATTCATAGTATTCAATTGAAGATTCTTAGGTCTCATTAGTCCCAAGAACCACTCAATGCAGAATCCTCCAAAGCCAAGCAGCAGCAGCCGCCGCTAGCAGAGGCACACAAAAGGAGAAAATATCACGGTGTGGCAACAATTATCCTTTGACATCAACCCCGTTGAGAATCTGTGGAGCATCCACAAAAAGAGAAATCTATAAGGGTGTGCGGCGGTATACCTTGAAACAGCAGCTCAGAGAGGCAATACAGACATCATCAAATGAAAAGAAAGAAACTCTGTGTTCAGTGGATGAGTTGTTCTTATCACACAACAAATTCAACTGATATCTGCTTCAAGTTAATTGCAACCTATTGGAAATTTTCTAACTGCAGTCTGCATTGTAATTTGGACTCATACATTCTGTGTTCTTTTCAAAAGATCGTTCTTATTATTATCCGTAAACGTAGGTTAAAATAACACCCGCATTGCAAAATGTAAAGGAAAATGAAATCTTCATACTAATTGAGAACATTGTGCAAAGAGTCAGGCTCGATGAAGGAGAGCTGTGCACACAAAAGGTTCTTCTTCTAATAATTCTGTCAATATATGAAGAGATGCAGCCATGGAGAGCAATGATAAACTTTCTGTATGTGTTTCAAATGTTTTTAATTGAACCAAAGAAAAATATACATACAGTGTATTGGGATGTCAATTCTCATTTTGTTTGCATAAGAGTTAATAGATCTCAGAAAATAGGTCTGTACATTTTGCAAATTACTCTCCACTCCATTATTTACACATGACATAGAAAGCAACAGTGTAAATGTACAGACGACAACTCAGAGACTTCTGTGTGCAAAGTGAGATATTGAGACATCACCAGATTATGCCGTCAGTTTGTTCTTTCAGATGTGTCTCAGAGTAAATCTGCTATATTTTTGTCAAACCACTTCTCTTCCCTTCATACTTACTTGTTCGCCAAGATGATGATCTTTAGGTTTTTTTTTTTGTTTTGTTTTGCTTTGTTTTGTTTACTCAGTACTAAATGTTTTGGTTCCAGTCTATTGAATTATTCACAGTAGATACAACACACTCAACATGTGGCCTCTGCCACTAGCTGATGATCCAATTAAAGTCTTTCTTTCAGCCGTGAGTATTAACTCTGTAAACATTATGTGCGTCTGCCTGCCTGTATGTTGGTCTAAATATGTGTCTGTGTCTCTCTCTCGCGCGCTCTGTGTTTTTTTCTTTTTCCCCCCAATAATTTCCCCACACTCCCGCTGTGTTTGGGCTTAGCTTTGCCCCCAATTCAACGCTTATCTTCCCTGACTGTGGGCAGGCTTATTTTTCGTTTCAGTGAAATATGTCTGGCTAACAAGCCTCTAACGAGACAGAAGGAGGGTCTGGGACATTGCCTGGATATGAGAGAGCAGCGAGTGCTTAACCATGGTGCTCGTTAATTTTCAAGGGGAAACCTAATTTCACAGGAGCCACATGGGAGATTTGGCTTCAGAGCGCCGAGGCTGTTGCCTATGCACTTAACTGTGGCATCAGAATTAGATCCTGTTAAGTTTTTCGCATTGCACCGATGCGAGCAGGCAATTATGGCGGTCTGATTTGGTCCACCGAAAGAAGTATTTGAATGAGTCAGCCGATCTCAGAGTAGCGCAGCCCTGTTGGTCACATTTTATCTCTGTTTTTATCTCCATTTTTTCTGTCTCTCTCTCTGTTTTGCTCTTGTCAGGTGTCTGTGGTCAACGCGTTGGACATGCAGGTTGTTGTGTCCACTGTCCCACCCACTTTAGTGGAGGAGAAGAAGGAGGAGCTCATTAGGTAAGACATGTTTCATGAAAAGTGAAAGCACAACCAAATGACCCTCTTAAAGGAGAATCATCCGGTCTCAGTGTGTGTGTATAATCCCAGCAATATTCTTTTGTGTGAATCATATGTTTACCAAGCTACTGTGATAAAAAAGAAGATGAAATAGTAAATATTTCTCTCATCATATTCCTGACACCACATCTGTACTCCCACTCTTGTCCACGCAGCCTATTATTTTTCAGTACAGTCCTTTGCCCTCTAATATTTTTCTTGTTAATTGATTTCTGAGGTAGAATTGGCGAAATAATAGCTTTTTCTTTGTGTAGAGCTTTGTCCACTTTAATACAAGGTAACCTTGCTTCAAGGTGGCACTTTAATTTGCATGCAAATCTTTTTTTTTTTTGGTAGTGACACGTACGATTCACTTGTGACCAACAAGAAGTGGACTGATAAAGATATGATGAGGTTGAACTTCGTGATGTTGTCTTTTGTTGTTCAGGAACCATTGATCAATCAATTAAAATCACGGATGAGACACTGAAGTCTATCCTCTGATGTCTGGTTTCCTAGTCCAAATTAATTAATGATAGAGATTCATGAAACATCTTTTTGCAGCTCTTGGGGCACAGTGTTTAGCCTAATTAGTCAATTTGAAAGGCAAATGGGTGTTAATAGTTGTTTTTCAAGAGCTTACTGTGTCTCTCCCCACATAAGTGACACTGCTTTTTAGGCTGAAAAACACACACATTAGTCATGTTAAGCTCTTTGCAGTGATGACATTTGAGAGGTCTGTGATTCTGCACAGTGCTGGTGGTGATCCAGGACCACTTTACCTCAGTGCTCAAACTGTTTATCCACCTTGGCGAAGGCAGACAGCAAGGCTTTCCTTTATTGGCTGTAATTTGAGGTGTGGATTTCTCCCTGCCTGAAAAGGATTATCAGAGCCTTACTTTGCCAAGAGCCCAGTGTGGAGAGGCAAACTGCTGCCCAATGGGGCAATCACTGCCAGAGTGGAGTACTTAAGATTGGTGGCTGTCATAGTGCTTTGGGCATGGAGGTGCCAGAAACGGTTTGAACTAACATGAACCTGGCTTATGTAAATCAAAACATTAACTACTTTTTAGTATTTAAGCCTTATGTTTATCAGAACTGAAGAAGCCTGTTGGCTCAAGAGCCAAAAAGACAAGTCCACTTGCTTTTTTACTTAGGATAGATCTTCTTAAATATGAGTTGCAATTTTGTGCTCATTTCAGCATTCTGGAGCGCCACGTCCAGGATCAGATCCCAGGTGCCAAGGTGATTGTAGAGTCCATTGGTCCACGTCGTCATGGCGATGGCTTCGAGCTAGAGGACTATTCCAAGTCAGACCTGATGGTGTACGCCATTGACCCGCTGACGAACAGGGCCATTTCACCCAAGGAGCTCTTCAAGTGAGTGGGTGAATTTTATTACAACAAGTCCAGTCCGCCGTTTGGTTTAAAGTGATGTTCTCATGTCCCCGCTGTGCTGCATGTTTTTCCCCGCAGTCTCTCTTTACCCTCTGTTCAAACAGTGAGTCAGCAAATATCTCTTTCTGAGACTCCCCTCGGCTTCCTCCTCGACAGTATCTTCACTCCACTGCCTCGACTTTCTTTTTAAGACTTTGATTACCCCGCAGGTGCACCGTATCTGTCATATGTCGTAGGAAAAGGGAAGATATAAGGGAGAAATGGAAAGGGGTGAGGTCATGGAGGGACAAAGTGAGAGTTGGGCGGGGAGTATTTCAATCAGTCCATCAACCCATCATGCCAGTGCCTCAAAGGCTGTTCTGAGAGCCGGGAGATATGCCAGAAATACGGTTTATTTCTTTATTTCAGGACATAGCTAGAGCTAGAGAGAGAGAGAGCTCTGTCTTCCAACACACACAAAAAATTAAATAAATAAAGGGAAAAAACACAGAAAGAAGTACGTTTAAGACATTTTGTCATTGTACCAGAAGGAGGAAACAAAAGACCTTGGCCTTAGGTGGCACCTGAGAACAGCCTTGCATTCACAATTGTCATGTTTCTTATCATTTCTGTCAAACCAATCAGACACCAATCTCTAAAGGCCGCCTCCACCAGAGCATGAGACTTGGCAATCAATAGGAAACACATTCCCTTCACTCACTGCTAATTTGCGCTCCTGCTTACATTTAGCAACCTCACACCACCTTCTGTCTGTGTTTCTCTTAGTCCGTTTTTTTCTCCCAGCCAACTAGAAGAAAACGCCTCGACCTCCCCCATCCACCCAGGCCACCCTCATCTTTGGAATGAGATTGTGACAATTTCAGTTCATTTAGAAATCCTCCACTCAAATGACATTTAGAGGTGCTTTGTGTATGTTCTGAATGAATCTATAAACATTACCTCTGTGTCCTTGACCATCAGAGGAGCACTACATCCAGCTGAAGTAGGGGACTGAGGCTGGGGCCACGAGGAGGGTGGCACTCGTGTCATAAAACCGGCTTTTTTAAAATAATAACCAGCAATCATCGTGGCAGCGGCAGCTTTTATAAGAGCCACGCTAATTTTAAAAGAGGTTTGCTGCATCCCTGCTTTAATGAGAATCTGCTTCCGTAGATACTGACAGGAAAATCATTTAGATTAGAGGAGAAAGGCTTCTTATGCATGCAGTGCATGTCTGACGGTGTTGTGGGGTAATTGTATGTTGTATGGCTGCAACTTTGCTGTCAGATCACAGACAGGAAAACGAGAGACAATATTGTAAGTGGAATTTTTTTTTTATGATAAATGGTCCTTATTTCACCTTGAATGCAGCTCTCGCTATCATCTGAGCTCTCTACAAGGGAAATTGCAAGAGAGTCCAGTTAATACCCTTCATCTCCGCTTGTTTATTTACCTATAGAAAAACAAAAATGACAGTAATTGGATATGGCAGACTGCTTACTCCCTTGAGATGTCAAAGATTTAAAAACTACTCAGAAGCAAACATTGAGTTTTACAAGATAACTTTGGAACAACAGGATGCGGATTGCTTGTATGCATGTACATTTTATTATAGTACTGCTGCAAAATCTGTTGTGGGTCTATATTTGAATCAGTGAAATGTGAATCAGCGTTATTTAGTAGAAAGGTCGAAGCATTTCATTCTTTTTCTTTTCTTAAATTTGTGCTTCAAGTGAAAAATAAATTTCTATGATCATTTTCAAACCAGTGTGATTCATATCCATGTTGCTTTTAAATTATTCATCATTTTGTTATCCAAATAAGCAAATGCCGATGACCTTAAAATAATGAGATACTCAGATCTGCTTAACCTTTGTGGCCACTTAAGGGCAGCACAAACTAGGTGTGAGCACAGCATTAGCATATTACCTTCACTTCATGCAGCTTTGATGTGCATACCAGTAGTCATACTTCCACTCTGTAGAGTATGGTTCAAAAGATATAGTGTGTTTCCATACATCCATCCATCCATTATCTATACACCGCTTAATCCTCACTAGGGTCGCAGGGGGGCTGGAGTCTATCCCAGCTGACTCAGGGTGAAGGCAGGGGACACCCTGAACAGGTCACCAGTTTATCACAGGGCCACACTTAGAGACAGACAACCAAGCACACTCACATTCACACCTACGAACAATTTAGAATCACCAATTAACCTCAACATTTTGGACTGTGTGGGAGGAAGCTGGAGAGAACCCACGCTGCACGGGGAGAACATGCAAACTCCACACAGAAAGATTCTGGTGCCCCCACCGGGACGCAAACCGGCAACCTTCTTGCTGTGAGGCAACAGTGCTACCAACTGTGCCACCTTGCAGCCCTGTTTCCATACATAGTTTGCCAAAAATACCAGGATGTCCAACCATGTCTCCCACAATCCTCTGCACAGCAGAAGATGCGTTGCATATGTCACAGTGTGTTGCTGAAGTTACAGCCTTGACAGGTGACTTCACACTGCAGACTCCAACTGATACACGAGCAAAGCTATCAAAGCTTAAGGCGCAATATTATGACAAATTAGTGTGTCCATATAGCATGCACGCTGCATGCATCAGTATGTACTTTGTGAGGGCAGCTGTAATATGTACTGAAAGTAAAAACAGACAGTGTGCAATATTGAAGGAAGAGTCGGTGTGAGCAGTGTTGCTTATTTACACTTCTAGCTGTTATGGATCCACATATCACTCATTTGGAGTGCATGTTTCAGACCATCTGCTGAATTGAAGTCCAATTTTCTCTGCTCTGTTTTTGTTCTTTACCAACTCCTGTGGGAATTATGTCTCTTTAGCTGCTAAATAATCCACTCTGTGCACCGGCTAGTTGCAAACTGTGCCGGTCTGCCTGCTATCTTGTGCCGAGCAGGTAGTGTGTAGTAGGTTTTTAGAGCTTTCTGCTAAAAACAGCTGCCTCATGCGGTTAAAGATGACGCTATGAGAGCAGTGAGAGTGAACCACAACAGTTCAGCTGTGGGTCAGATCGCTAAACGCCAAACTGCAGCTTGCTATTAACTTGTTTTTGTTGTTTATTGAGTAGCGATGATGTGAAGGTGATGAAGAAATTCTCCTCTGATCCTGTCTTGTTGGTATATAAAATGGTTTATTGAAAGTACAATATCTCAGATGCCTGTGAGAGGATTTGAAGCCAAAAAGAATCATCCCCCAGAATAATCTTAACTACTAGCTTATATAGGGGCTGTTTACATAAAACTAAGACAGAACATATGGTTCATAACCATAAAAGGAAGGAGCCCATTCTCTAAACAGAGAATCGCCTCTCCTGCAGCACCTAAACTTTTGATCAGGGCCGCTAACTAACATGTCAAACCCATGAGTTGGAATCAGATACCACACTTCTTAAAGAGAACAAGAGCTGTGGTTCATTTATCTGTAGTTTCATCACTGCCACAGTCATGTTGTTTTTATATATTGACATTTGACTCAAACTATTGTGTTCAGACTCTTCAAGGTTAATATGCTGTTCATGAGTTTGCAAAATTAAGACAAATGACAAACTCTGTGCTGTCCTGTTCTCATTATCTGCTGTAAATCACAGATTCCTGGATGGGAATGTGCTGGAAATCAATAAAGAGTTCCAGCCGCACCTGGGCGAGGGCGGCCGCATCCTCGAGATCCGATCTCCAGACGTCGTGGCCAGCGTGAAGAAGGCCGCCCAGGCCGTCGGCTACACAGAGGGAGCTCTCCTGGCCCTGGCCATCATCATCATCCTCTGCTGCATCCCTGCCATCCTCATCGTCATGGTCACCTACAAACAGTCAGTGCTTTTGCCTTCTTAATAATCGCAGCCTTCTATGATCGATTAATCATCTTTAACTGGCTGTCAGGAAATTAAGAGGGAAATACATTTTAATTAAGCGCATCATTGTCTTGGGAGATATTGTGTTACACTCACGGTTTTAGCTGAAGGGTTTGTTCTGCACAGACAAATCAGATATTTATTGTTGGAATGTAAACCATTGTTTACATCCTGTATCCTGTGGCCTGATAGAGCAGAGCCAGCAAAACCACAAACAGCATTGTTGAAAAGTGTATTTGTTAAGTATTTAAGATAAAGCCAGAGCCCTTCCTGCTTGGCTGCTGCCTTTGTGTGTGTGTGTGTGTGTGTGTGTCTCTCCCGTTCTTCCTCTGTATCTCTTTCTCTCTCCCTCATCAGACATGCTGACTGCGCACTCTGCTGGGCTAATCTCCCTGCTCATGCTCTGTGAAAGCAGATTAATTAGCACTCATTTGTGACAAACATCTACAGCCAATTGTGACCGTCACAGTGCGTCTTCACACTACTTAATCATCTCTGCCCGACACACACACACACACAGTAAACATCGCTCTCTGTGGTTTTCTGGCTCTCTCATTGACGCGCACAAAAAAGTATGACGCGTGCTGTTTAAAGCATCATTCAGAGATGCGAGGTAGGTGAACTCTTTTCCCAGGAGCCGAGCTCTTCTCCCCTGTAATTATTGGTATGCGGCAAGTGTGCCATAAAGGGTTGTGTTTGGGAAAATGTTTATTCGCAGCAGATGGGTAGAGTGGTTGTCCTTATCCAAATGTGCAGACCAAATTCACAGCAAAAAAAAAAAAAGAACTGTTGATGGTGACATTAGACCTAACGCACGCAAACTGTCACAGCAGATGGCGCTTTGTTGGTGGTGACATTACTTGGGTGAAGTTGAATGATTTAAGAGCTAATTTTCTCAATTCTACTTGTCGACATAATTCACTGTTGCCTCAATTTGATAATGTGTATAATGTTTGAAAGCGCATTTCGTTCACCCGTGTGGAATAGTTGAGTTTGGTTGTGAGTAAGTGGTGGTTATTTGGAGCAAGCGGGATTCAGTTTAAGAGGAAAAAAAAAAGCAACAGCTATTTTTTGCATGTAGCCCTGCAGTCACTGCTGGAGGCTTCACATGGAAATCGAAGAGAACATACATGTTTTATGATTACACAGGAAAATAGGGTATGCTATACATAGATCTGAGAGATACTGGGAAACTGTTATCTAAGGAAGGACTTGAAGTAGCTCAGTGTTTCACTTAACATGTCTATTTAAAAAAAAAAACATCTAGCATTAACTACCTCTCAGCACAAAATTGTATAGAGGTTGCAGTCATGCCAAATTATGTAATTATATATCTTTTGTTTTTGTCCCCCATCTCTCTCTCTCTCTCCCTCTCTCCCTGTCTCATCTCGTTTCTCTGCATCAAAACTTATCATCAGGTTCAAAGAGTAAGTAATTCTTCGTGTTTTTGCCAGTGATTGCTCTTTCATTGCTTGACGTGCGTGTGAGAAGTGCAGTGACTCCCCTCCTCATTTTTCATTGGCTATTTAAAGATGAGCCCAATGTTGTGAATGTGTGACTAGGAAAAAAAAAAAAAAAACGCACGCCAGCTCATGTCGCCCTTTTGAAATGTCTCCAGCATAATGCCATGTAGCAGCGCTGATTCATCTCAGAGTTTACGGGATGAATGCGCAATTTGGCTCCGCGGTTTATCATGATGTGGAAAATCTGACGAAATTCAAAAGGAAGGAATCGACCCAAAGTCAAAAAGGCTCATAGTTACACTCGATCATGTCGCATCAGTTTTCAGGTGTCTCTATGCATAAATGGCATGTGCGTTATTGTTAGTCTTTCCAGCTCAAAATATACAACCCCAACTCCAATAACACGTAGTTAAAAACTTGTTGCAGGACTATATTCCTTGCTCCCGTGCAATTTAAAAACTTCTTGAGTTTATTTCATGGTGCTCTGTGAAGCAATATTTTTCGTAATGATATTGAAACAAATGAATCCTTCAAATGTGAAAGGGTTGTTTTTACTGCCAAACCCACTGACGATCAAAACTTGTAACTCTGTGCAGCTTTCAGAGTAAACAAGTGTGCTGTGAAGAGACTTCTATACAAGCTAACAGCAGCAAGTTGTTTCACATCTTGACCTTCAGACAATAGTCACCTCGCAACCTAGATGACAATAGGTTGACAGCCATATTGTCGGCAATTGTTGGCAAGCCATAAGAAAAGAAAAGAGAAAGAAAGTCTTGAAGTAGTTCATAGGAAAGTGAGTTTAGTTAAAGTGATGGTTTGGAATTCTCTTTGTACTGACAGATAAGAGTAGATGTTAACTGCACCTCATCCCACTACACTAAGTTGCTCTTTTTTTAAACACCTGAATATAACAGTAGTTTTAATTTTACCACAAGTTGCAGCATGTGCCCCTTCTTTGCTCAAATGACTTGTGAAAACACATGGTTAATTCATGGTGGAGACTTCATGCATAAATTATGTGTCTGGTTTATTTTTAACTACAGTAAATGTGAAAGAAACAAGCTGGTATTTTGGGTTGATTTTTCTTTATGTGTTTGTGTTGAGTTTTTCCCCTTCGTGTCTGATTGCATGTGGACTAAAACCGCATATGACGCTCACTGTAAATGTGAAAACTTTGCACAGGCGACAGGCAGAGTGTGCCAAAACTGCCCGGATACAGATGGCTTTACCACCTGGAGGGAAGGCCGCTCCGGCGGGTGCTCCCACTGCTAACCTCTACGAGGAGCTGGGCGACAGCAGCATGTGAGTTCAGGCTTGTCCCTTTAAGTGTCTGTCTTCCATCCCACACATCCCACCAGTTCCCACAATCAGCAGGTACTGTATCTGACTCTGTGTGTTTTAGAGCCAAACTTTCTCTGGCTTTTTTATTTTTTATTTTTTTGCTTTTTACACAAACACTTTTAGATTCAAAATCATATTGTCCTCTCTTCTAAAATGATCGCTGACAGCTCAGAAGTTTCCCTGCTGCTTCCGACATATTTGTAGCTGCATCTATGAATCTCTCTGCTCTTTGTCTTCTTTTGACATGTGCAAACCACACTGTAGGCTGCAGCACAGCTGCTCATTCCACTTTAGCTTATGTATGTGTTTCTAATTTGACTGTGTATGCATTTTTGCAAGACCCTCTGTCAAGGTAAGAGTGTGTTTAAATTCTTAAAGTACCTAATGGCTTACTGGAAATAGGAACAAATACAGAATATGGTCTGTGCTTAACAATAGCCATAAATTAATTTAAACCTTCGTTTGATTAATACCTACAGTCTGCTGAATGCTTCCTCAGCTTGCCTATAAGTGTTTTTGCCGTCAGCACAATTGAATTTCACCTTTCATATTAAATTCTGCCCTGAACGTGTAATAAAATGTTAATGCTTGGGGATTAAATGATATTGAATTGAAAGCGCTGCCCCGCTGGGTTTAGTAATTTTGATTTGCAGCATGTTAAAGCAATACAGCTACTCACGTCACAATTGCCGTTTAAAAAAAGAAAATGGAAATTTAATGGCAAGCTGTAAAAGAGCTTTTGCAATGTTTACAACAGATGTTGACCAACAGTCAACAACAAGCAACAGCTTTTGGTTCCGTGGCAAGAGAAGAGCTCTCATGGGAACCGTGTTGTAGCCGAGCATCCTGTACTCGGTGTTCATTTCCCAGCCTACACCACGGAGAAAGAGGAGTTGGTTCTATAAACAATCATATTAAAAAACTGTAAAACTCCATGAGAAAAACACAAAATGTACTGTGCAGAAGGGTTTCTTTTGTGTGTGTGCCTGCCTTGTGTTCTTGCCAGCGATGTACTGTCAAATGCACTCAGCGAATTAATCAGTACAGTACTTGCGCTCAGAATACAGAAACTTGCTCTACCCGTGTGCCTACGCTTCATCCACGGCTTCATTTTTCATTAACACCTGACATTTCTTCTTTAGTCTTCTTACCATCTGTCTGTTTCTGTCTTCTCCATCATTTCTATTCCCTTGTCTCTCTGGATTCAGACTGCAGTAAGTAATCCTGACATTTCAGGTCTATGAACATGAGCAATATTATGTATAAATATAGCACATGAGCAACACTCTTGCTCCCCTCTTGCATATAGCTTCTTCTGAACATTTGCACAAACTACTTGTAGATGTGATTTTGGCTATGTAGTTAACCTAAATGCTGGATTTTTTTCTTTTAATCATCAAAAGCCTTGTGTCTAAATATATTTTTAAATTGCAAAGCCAGTTTTGCTAATTGACCGTGAAGGGGGTAGCAGTTTTGAAAGAGGAGGACAGATTTGTATTTTTCCAAACTTAGTGTAACTCTTTTACTTCCATGTAGTGAGGAAAGGGGAAGCTCTCTGTTTAGAGGTAGTGCACTTCAGAAGATATCACTACAGCTGTCTCCTCTCTGCCTTCCCATTAGACTATCGTCTGCTTTTGTGTTCGGTTGCCCTTATTTTCACACCTCTTCAGATCTCTCAGTGTTGTGACTGATTGTACTAATGTACCCAACATGGGTTGATGTTGGCTGTTTGTATAACACTTTGGAGCAAAGCCCAGCGTGTCTGTAGATGTAATCATTTTTATATATTAATATTTAATTACATGACATTGTAATTTTTCAACTTAAGTTCAGCAAAGTTTTTAAACGTTCTTTTTCATTTTATATCCCTCAAAATACATCTCTTAGTCTGTACTGTGCAGATGTCTAAAACACACAAAACATATATAAAACCATTTAAAATGTGGGATAATTAATGGTTTTACAGGAAAATTAAAGTCACAACACTGGGGATCATAGTCAGCTCCCTTGTTGTAGCGCTGTTGCTTTTGCCTCACCATTTTTCTTTGCTTGGCTCGCCCCTAAAGCATCGATCTTCACCTGTTTCAAGTCTTTTCTCTTCTTCACCTCCACCTTTCACTGGGACAGGGCTAAAAAGTCTGTCATTGAAGAGGCTGACCACCAGAGGATTCTTAGCACCTTTGCCAGTCGCGCCCTTGCAGCCCGCAGCAACGGAGCATTGCACCTCAACTTGCCCAAGTCAGAGAGCAACGTGACTTTCCTCTCTGACCGCAACCCACTCACCACCCACAACCCTGTCTATGATGATAACAGTCCCCTCGGCAGTCCTGATGCCTCGGCAGGGGGAGAGAGTCCGCCTGAAAAGCGCTTCTTCTTCTCTACTTCCCACTCACCGGGGTCAGGGTGCATCTGGTCAATGCCCGCTCGCATCCACGGAGGGCTGCACGACTACGAGGTGTCAAGGAGACAAGCTCTTATGGACCCGGCCGAGTGGGAGAATCACATACTCCACGCTGCCATGAGGGCCAGGCAAAGGCAGGAGAGTTCGGACACTCTTCTCCTGAGTGGCAGCACGGACACCAAGTTGTCAGTCCGCGAGCAGGCGAGGCAGTTTGAGCAACAGGCCCTCCAGGAACAAACCCTCAAGCAAAATAGAGGCTCCCAAGGCTCCCTCTCTTCCATCCTTGTTAGGGATCGTGACGGGGATGACATGCTGGAGCTGGACTCGGAAACCCTCTTTTCCATCATGGATTACCCCTACAGCAGCATGTCTGTGGGCAGAGATGTGCCCCCCAGCATTATCATTGCTCAGGGAGATGAACCATGGCCCCTGGCAAACCAGAGACCGACTCCGCCTGTTCTCAGGAAGTTTAGCTCCAGCATTTCCAGCTACATGACAGTGCAGCCTTGTCAGATCACTGTGGAGATTATACCGGACCCACCGGAAAACCCACCGCCGTCTCCTCCGCAGAAGCTGCTTCCACCGCAGAAGCCGCATCCTCCTTCTCCACCCACGTCTCCTCCCTCTAGCCCTCCTCCTCCTCCGCCACCTTTATCCTCCTACTTTCAAAAACCTCAATATACCCCTCACTCCTCTCCTCCTCCTCCTCCTCCTCCTGTCAGTAACAGGCTTGCTCCCCCACCTCCGCCACCTCTTCCCCCTCCGCCCTCCCCTGCTAACGAACAGCCGCGCCCAGTCGTCCAGTTTATCCCCACCTCTTTGCCGCCCGCGTCCTCGCTTCGCCCCGTCTCCGAACGAAAACACCCGCCTCCGCTCACCCCGTCACAAACCGACTTCGGGAAAAAGGAGCTCAAAGGGATCCTGAAGAACATCCAGAATCTCGCCGACATAGAAAGGTCCGTTGCCAACATGTACAGCCAAGTAGACAAAAACAGCAAGGTGCCCAAGTTTAACAAGAAGCCACAAGTGACTGAGGAATCAGAGGGTGAAAACAAACTGCAAAGCTCTGATCCCGGCGATGAGCAGAGCCCGCCAAAAACAACCAACTCCAGCTCTGCGGTCCACATCGACTCAACAAGTATGAACAGTGCTGAAAATGGAGCGAGTCAACCGAACATTGTAGGAGAGGTTCAGCAGACAAGCCAATTGAACTCCAGCAGCCCAAACACCGCTGAGCTCAGTGAACACTCTTCTTCTCAGTTCACGGTGTTCTGACACTTTGCTCATCTCCATATTCTCATTATTTCCAACTGTACATCTTCCTTGCCTGTTTTTCTGTTGTTCCTACATTTTGTTGTTTTTGCACAGTCGGTAGAATTTTGTATTTGCTTTAGCCACGTCAAAGAGTTTTGACGAAGTTTTTCAGTAACAGAAGAAAATGCTTTTTTTTAAAACTTGATACTTGGTGCGAAAATCAAAATTTAGAGTCACCAGCAAAGAAATATACTCAGGTCTTACTGTACGATATATGTATGGGTTTGCATTAGAACAAATAAGAGATTAACATTGTCAGTTTGGTTCAGTTTTTTTATGTTATAAGTTTCAGAACTGGTCTGAGATGTATGGTTAAGTATGCCACAGAGTCACTTCATCATGTTATGTTCTCTCAGTTCAAAGCTGCTATTATTAAAATTCTACTAAATACCCAAATGTTTAAATCCCACTGGCCCCGGGGTTTGTTTCCTCAACCATTTTCCAGCTGCATATTGTTGATTTCAAATTTGTTTTTTTTTACTTTCTTTACAAAGATAAGAGCATCCAAATTTAGGATGCCTCATGCAGAATCCAAATTACGCAAAAGAAAAAAAAAATATTATGTTGGATGTTTTTTCAAATAAGAGAAAATTACCATAATTGTTTTTTTTTTCTCCAATTTTCCAAAAAGTGTACAAACCCTCGAAAACAGCTTCAGAGTAGCTCTAATGATAATCACATAGCTGTTGAGGAAACATATTCTGAAAGTCGTCGCAGTCAAATATTAAATTATTTATGAGCTTCTTTAACTAAATTCACAGATGAATGAAAGTGAGATATATATGTATATATATACCGTACAGATGTGGGATTGAGTGAAAAGAAAAGCACTCCCCCAGCGAGGGACTTTATACACAGTCTAGAAATGCATACTGAAACAAACACTCCATGAAATAAAAGGAAATACCGGATATTTTAACAAGACGGGCTACAAGAATATCCTTTTATTTAAACGTTATTTTCCCCTGAATGCCAATACTGGGCATGGCTGTGTAAAAAGTTCTTTATTTTGTCTGATGTTGATTGAAGCATCAGCTATAAAAAATACATCAGCTGTGTTTCCGGCAGGCTGGTGTTGAATGAAGAGAGCCGGCCTCTGGGGACCTGTCTATTCACATGTCTTCAGAGAATCCTCTCAGCATGATAAAGTAGTCACTGTGATGTTTGTCTGCACACTGGAAAAGGCTAATTAGAGAACCAATCAATCGTTAACCAGGGCCGCTGCCTGTGGGACTGTCAACTACTGTTACCCTCTCCTTTCCTTTTCCATCTCCCTGACCTTCTGCCTGCCTCTGTGTTTCTCTCTCTCTCTTACTTCCCGTCTCCCTGTAGTTAGTTCTAATACTTTCCAATCCTCGGCTTCTTAATCTTTCCGTGTGGTTCTCGGGAGATTCTATTACCTTCATTGCAATGCGGCCTCTGTCGCCCCTCTCTTCCTTTTCTCTGTGCTCAGGTTTTTCACCCCTCTCTCCCTCCCCTCCCCCCCACATACCCTTCATGTGTTTGTTTCACCTCCGTGCCCTAAGGCAAATGGTCTAAGCATACCTCACTTGCAGACAATGTAATGTTTGATTCATCACATGTTCCCCTGATGGGCAGATCGAAGCCCTGCTAATTCTGTATTCCATGTTCGCTACATGGGGTAATCTCTTTTGTACGGAGGCTAGCAGCTCACATGCTGGCTCTTTCAACCTAAAGTGCAGCGAGTCTTAATGGCTGGTATCCTTTATATTCCATTTTCACAATTGGTTTTTATTAAACTCTTTTGTGTCCCAACTAACAATTTCGATGCAGTGACATAAAAAGAAGGCACACAAGGAAACTGGGAAGTTTTCATCTATAGCACTTTACTACGAAATATTTAGAAGATTGTGTGACTAAGGCCACGGTTAGCTCAGAATTCAAGGTAGAGTAGAAGTTTTCCAAGATGGCAGCGGCTCAACTAACCAGGTCTCAGAAAATATAAACCAACAAACATGTTGTATACAAATAAAATCAGGCTTAACGTTTTTCTGTAATTTACCTGCGTAGACAAACTTATGATTGGAGAGCTCCTTTGTTGCATGAAAGCATCTCCCTGCTCTTACACCATATGGGTGGTGGATTACTGTTTAACATTTGATGATATGCAGCTTTCGTGCTGGATTAGAAAATCGATACCACTCAAAGCTCTCTGGAATAAATATGAAGCTGAAGTTAGCAGCTTGTCAGCACAGAATAGCTCAAAAACCAGTAAGAAACCCGACTCAGTCCCAAGATAACAAAACCACCAACCAAATACTTATTTATTGTAAATCCTCCAACCTTTAAGCACAAAATGTATTTTATTTTACACTTTAATTACTCACTTTCTTTATTGAGTATTTGCCTTATTTGGAAGTTTTAGAGTCATTTTACTATGCTTTAATTGTACATTTCATTTGCTTTAGTTGGAAAATTGTCAACTCTGAATAGGACATTTTTATGTTTTATTTAACCCTCTGAGGCTCAAACAGCTTCTGGGCATTTTCTGCTCCTGTCACATTTTCACGCAACGTGGGATCATTTTTCGCTGCAAAATACAGTTCTGCATCTCTATTGAAATGGAACAACCATGGCTAGAAGAACAGAGAACTCAATCATGTCTTTTTATACAGCAACACAAAGTTATATTGCCACAAATCATAAAAAAGAACAAAATGAATGTTGCATTTCTTAAATTTGTATTTTACAAAAAATGGAATCAGTATGTATAATATTTTCCAAGTGCCACTAGCAGTTACAACTACTGAAGAAAATAGTGACTCCAGATACTGTAGACATTTGACATCTTACATTTCTGTCTTATATGTTTATTTTGCTTCCAACCTGCACTTTGTAAATACAGCCTGCAGTTCAGCCCAGTTCAGCCAGAAAGTCATTACATTTTTGGCTTGTGACTGCTGGTCACAGTCCAGTCATTAATGGCTTCATGGTTGCATCAAGGAGATATTTTTATGTATTTATTTGTTAATTTTTAAATGAGACGAGTAGAATAAAGTGATTTTTGTGAAATAGTGATTGACTAGTCATTTTTAAGCTTTGTATTTGGTTATGTTTTCTGACAGAATGGCACATTACACATGAGTAGTTCAAAAACAATTAGATAATACAAAATCCACCAATTTATTTGCTATTTTTAGTTTCTGGATTAAAGAAATTATATAGTTTGAGTGTATTAGTTTAGTGTATTAGTGTAGTTTTAAAGACAGCTTTCAAAACCACCAGCAGGTTTTGAGGTATAGAAAGTTAACCAGCTATGTAACGCCTTTTCTCTGTTTCCTCTTTATTTTTTTCTTCTTTGCTTTTGTAATTTTACTGTCATTTAAAATGAGGAACGACCTTCAATGATCTCCCATGTGTATAAATAAAGGCTGACTAAATTAACGGGAAAAACAATAGCTCAATAATATGTGTTACAGCCAAAATCAAAGTCCAACCCACGTCTCTGCATGAAACCAAAATGTGATTTTCAAACTTTTAAGTGTCCGTTTGGATTAAAGCAATGAGAAATGACACATTTATTACTGAGCTTTGGCGTGCAGTTTAGTTACTTTTCGACAAAGCCCTGCTCCCTGTGTCTTTGTGTCATGTTGTGATAAATTAAAAGGCTGCTGGCTTTAGCTGCATATTTACCTTACAGAACCGAGAGCAGTATCCATCTTCTCCCATAACTTTCAAGAACCATTCCCCCAAAAATGTTTACTATTGTATCTTTAACCGGTTCCCACTGTAATGCTTGTCTTGCTGATAAATTTATTTGTGGCAGCGGAGCAGCAAAGACCTTATTAAATCTGCAATGAACAAAGGTAAAGCTAGTTATACACAACATCACCCTGCCGCTCTAGATATGATACACGAGGCTGTTCAGTATTCCAGTCTTGCTGTAATTCTCAGCTCACCTCTCTCACCTCTTTTTCTACAACATTTCTTCATCACCCATCTTCCACAAAGTCCTCTCTTGTGCAAACTTCCGATGGCTACTGTCCACTGGGCCATTTTTCTTGATGTTGCATGAAGCAGCAGTAGCCAGCAGCCAAGCCAACAGGTCATCCATCAGATCCAACTCCCATCCTCCTCTCTGCCTGGGAGGTGTGGCATATGGCTCTGCCCTGTCCCCTGGTCCTTGCCCATAATAACAGATTACAGCTCTCCGGAGGAATCTCACATCATTGCTTGGCCATATATCTGAGTGTGTGAAAGTCGTCATTATTTATGGGCCCAGACAGGTTACAGTTGTACGCTTGTGAACCTGGAGGTTTCAGCCGAGCTGCTCCATTACTCGCCGTCTCTCATTGACTTGTACTGAAGGCGCTGCAGATGCACTGTTATCCTCAGGAGCAGCTCTGAGGTGTTTTTTATGTGTTCGATAAAGCGAAATTTCTAAGATTTACTTACTTCAATTTAGCAGAAAGAATAGAGGAGGGGGAAAAAATAGCTGTCTGTTGGCATATTATGGCGTGATAACCAAAGACAATTTTATTAACTTCTGTTGAGTCAGAAATTCTGCCATTAATCACAATGTCCTTTTCATATCTCCTGGTAGATTGTCTAGATATGGCTGTATAAACACTGACTGTGTTTTTTTTTTTCATTTTCCAATCTTCCCAACTTCTTTGATATTTGCATTTATTGTATCTTTTATTTCTTCCTGTTTGGATGAGATAACGGTGGGGGGAAAACAGCCTACACCAGCGTGATAGCGTTGCGGCCTTAGGCACCCTTTTTAAAAACCGAACAATATCTGCAACTCTATAATTTAACACATGAAAATGCACAGTAAGTAAAGCTGCGTTTTCCTCACTGGTCAGCAGAATGTAGATGCACTAGTCCTGTAGTCTTAACATTTCATTTATCAAAAAGCACTTGAAATGTTGATGTCAATCCATATTCATTATTTGTCTTATTTGCTCCTTTCTTTGACACAGCAGGCGAGGCTATGGCAGACAGGTAAGCATTCCTGTTTTTGATGTGTTTTTATCTTATTGTTATGCTGAGACATTTTGTCGCCGAATTCAGCTTGAAGCAGCTTATATCCCATTATTCTTATCTGCAATTCACTTGATGGAAAACAGTGAATGAGATTAAGATGAGATCCTGGTGATAGAACTTCTAACACTGACATTACAAATGTTCTTGCCAAATAGCAGATAAGCATTTGAATGAGTTTTTCTTCTCTGTTCAATCAGGGACCAAACAAAGTGACTCTGTCTGACAACATTTGACATTACAATCTTTGTCACTATTTCAAATTCTGTGAACTGTCAGTATCCATATACGCAGCATTTTGTTGTTTTGGTTTTTGGTTTTTTTTCTTTTTTCATTTCTTACATCTCTCCATTGCTTGGTTGATTCTATCCTCTTCTTCTTCTTTGCGTGTTTCCATCAATAGTTTATCAGTCTTTTCACCTTTCTCCTCCATAGTGTATAACATAGACCTAGCAGTGAACATTAAAGAAGTCTGCGTTTCCTGGTTGTTAAATCTAAAATGAAACAGAGTGAACTCTTCCTTATGATTGTGTCTCTCCTGACCATCCCTTACTTCCATTACCTTATCCTTCTTCTGTACTAATCTTTGGCAGCAACAGCAACTGCTGAGGCCATCTCTTCTGAGACCTGAGGTAGAAACACTCCTGCTTTTCTTAATTCACAGGGATAGTAGTCATTCAGCTGTATACTCACCCTGTGTGCTGCTGTTGCTCTTCTCCTGCTGTCTTTCTCTGAGGAATGCTGAGTAATTTCTGTGTCTGCCTCTCTGAAACGCAGGAGCTCTCCATGGAGTCAGGTATCGATCCAGGCCAGGACTACTACACGCAGGACTACTATAATTACGACCAAGGGTGAGCATGCAGCCCACTGACTGTCTCATCTCTCATCAGTTGTACTCTAATCCATGGAATTGATCTCCATTGGTTCATTTAAAGTTTTAAAAAAATTACATCATTAGGACACATTTATCCTAACCTTGCCTTCCAGTTCTTAGCGGGTCCTTGGGGGATGGAGAGCTTTTCAGAGAAGTTCAGAGTAAAATTATGAGCATAACTTATGTTGCTCCTTCAGTATTACATACCATCCAAGCATTTACCCTCACTACTCCCACCAAATGAGATCAATTATGCTGCCTTGAGTTGGGCACCTGAGAGCCTAAAAGTCTTTCCCATAGCTTAATGGATAGAAAGTGTTTTGGCGTGCCTGTTATACGCCCATATGGTCTAAAGAGGAAAAACATGGAACTCAAAGCCGTAGCAGATGCTGAGAAATTGTTATTCATTAAACGATCCTGCTCTGTTGCAGGTGACTTGCACCACTCTGGGAAATTAAGCTGCAAGTTTATCAAAATTATGAGAACTTTTTGCACCTTACATGCTTAAATCACTGAAAGAAGGTCTTACAAATGTTTAAAAACTGTCTGTAGTGAAATTAGATGTTGTAATTACCTCTGCAGTTACTCATCTGCCTACCTTTCAAGTCACCTTTACTAACTCTGATTACTGTGTCTGAATCACACTGACCTTCATCAGCGAAGAGCTGTAATTATCTTTTAATGGTATGTCACACATCTCATTGTTAAAGCTGCTATTGCCAATGAGTGTACCATCACTGTGGCCTTTGATCTGTTTTTATTTGCTGTGAGTGGCACACTTTACCAGCGGTTAAGCTTTTAATCCAGCAATCAGTGGACCGTGTGGTCCTTACAGCGGATCTTGTATGTTCAGAAGGTGGCACTGATGCAAATTACCGCTGGCCTCTTTCCTTCATGCATCTCTCTAATTTAGTGTTGAAGAGCAAGAATAATACTTAATATTTTAAATATCAGTCAGACTATTTCTCTCTCACTATTGAAGACAAACCTAGTCGTGGTTAAAAATTAACTTGTATCTTCAGATCTCCAATTTATACCTTAATTTTTTTTCATCTGCGTTATCTTGTTCTGCACATTTGGCCATCAACACTGAAATACCAAAACAGCCGAAAGATTAAATCTCTTCCTCTCTTGCTTTTTAATTTAATGGCAATTGGTGAAAAACACAGCTACAGGCCACTACACTGTTTGGTAGGATAGTGTGGTTAGATAAAAAAGTTTTATTTAATTCTCCCCTGATGAAGGCTGTGTAGCCAGACAAATACAAAAAAAAAACAGCATGTTGAAGAAGCATTATGGAACCTGATTTAGGTCAAGTGTCTAAATGGGCTTTTAGGTGTTGTTTATTACAGGACATGTTCACATCTCTGCATCTGCTGCCTGTCAGACCAAAGATTTTCCCAAATATTGGAAATAAAGAACCAAGAGCACTAATAAATAGTAGCAGCCTGATATAACAGAGGAAGATTCAGGAGAAGAATTTAAAAATATGAAGAAAATTACAAACAGAAATAAATGAACCCTTTTATAACTTATTGGACAAATTAGATTGTACTGTATGTAACAAAATCAATACTGCAGATAATCAACAAGTTTATGGGTTAAATAACTCTGGAGTTTACCCACCGAGTCAGGAGTTTATTGACTTTCCGATTATTAATGTCTCTGCTCAATGCTGAATTATGAGCATCACTATATTAGATGATGGGCGCCTAACATGATACTCAAGGTGTTTCATTTTTAAATAATTCATTTCTTTAATGGCTTTTTATTTATTCATTCTGTTCATGTTATCATTAGTTCATTGTTTCTCATGCCATCTGGTTTTCTTGAAGGATTACTGTAACCATTAGCTAATGGTTAACATACTGCACAGTAATTCGAAACACGTCATCTTTCATATCTTGTGTGAATCTATTACTAAGGTATGACTTTCCTCAATATGGCAGTCGGAGGAGGCTGATTCCTCCCATGTATGATGAATATGGAGAGGTGATCATGGAGGATGATGGGTATTACTACAGTCCACACGGCCCTGAGGTAATGCCTTTCCTTGGATGTAAATTTCATACTTTCAGTGGTATTGTCATGAATGTTAACTATTGCCTTCATAGGTTGTGTGCCCAGTGTAATATTGAAATAGCAGAGTGGCAACCCTGTGTGACATTCCAGCATTGTGGCTTTACCATGACAGAAAAATTGCTAAATAAAATATGACTGTCTTAGGGCCGGGGCCGAGGCAGAGGCCGTGGTGGCATGCGAGGGAGAGGTCCACCGAAGAGGGTTGCATTTAGGGACATGCCGCCAGAGGATGAAATTGAACAAGCTGAGCCAGCAGCGGAGGGTGAGCCTTCAAAGGCTGCCAAGAAGCTGAAGTCTGTCATGAAACTCAGCAAACTCCTGGCGGCCAGCAAGGGAGAACAGCCATCTGATGCCGGTCCGTCTGGCGCGTCTCCATGGAAGAAAGCCAAAATGTTCAAGATGTTTGGCGCCGGCAAGAAGGACAAGGATTACGCCAAACTGATGTCAGTCCGACATACTGACAGCCGGGAGAGTTTGACTGACGGGCCGGCGCTCACGGGACCGATAGACAGGAAGTCTGACACTCGCAGTCGGCTTGGGAAAGTTTTGAAGAAAATCAACTTGGGCAATAAGCTGCAGGTTCGGAGGAAGTCTCAGAGTAGTGTGAGTCGTGGCTCGGCCACAGGCAGTGAGAGAGATGAGGAGGACTCACAAGCAACCATTGAGGATGAAAGGAAGTCTAAAGTGTCTATTAGTGTGACTGAGAGTGAGCCAGAGGCAGGTACAAGTGGAAGCAGTAAGGAGAAGGGCTCTGATGAGGAATCCTCGGAGAAAAGCAGTGTTGACAGAGATTATCTCAAAGTAGATTTAGACCGGGATGATGCCAATGAAAGCACTGTGGACTCTGAGGAAGAGCCTGATGAAGAACCGGGGGATTCTGATGAGGAAAGCAAGTCCAAATCTGATGAAGAAGAGACGGAAAAGGAATCTGTCAGTGAGAAAGAATCTGGGACTGAGAAGGAATCGGAGTCAGAGTCAGACAAGTCATCGGCCACAGAGAAAGAGTCAGAGTCTGAGGAAGAGTCCAAATCTGAGAAGGATACAGAATCAGGAACAGGCACAGCCACTGAGAAGGAAACAAGCACAGAAAAGAGTTCAGGAACAGAGAAAGACTCTGATGAAGAGTCTGAGGAGGAAGAGGCTTCAGGAAGCACTAGAGAAAGTGGGTCTTCTGCTCGGTCTTCAGCTACTGAGACCAGCAAGGGAAGCAGCGCCTCTGGCATGAGTGGGAGTGGGAGTGGGAGTGGGAGTGGTAGCGGGAGTGGGAGTGGGAGTGGGAGTGGTAGCGGGAGTGGGAGTGGGAGTGGGAGTGGTAGCGGGAGCGGGAGTGGAGGAAGTGAAAGTGCAAGTGAGAGTGGTAGCGGTAGTGCTAGCAGTGCTGCATCTTTGTCTGGCTCAAGCGTTAAATCATCCCAGAGAACCAGGTCATCAGCAGTTACCTCAGAGAAGTCCAGTGAGGACCTCAGTGAGGCCGAGTCAGGGACGGGGACGGCCAGCGAGACAGAGGCCGAGTCAGGCTCAGGCAGTGAAGGTTCTTCATCTCGTGGGTCCAGCCAGAGAAAAACATCTGGTTCAGACCTCAGTGGGGGATCGACACCGGCCAGTGAGATGTCAGACCAGAGTTCTTCAGGCAGCAAGGGAAGTTCAGCTGGTTCACGGTCCACCAGTGGCAGCCGGCGTTCCCAGAAGTCCAGCCTGAGCCGTGGATCTGAAGACACAATCACAGAGGAGAGTGAAGAAGAGGACGAGGAAGAATCTGAGACTGCTGATGAGAGCAAAGAGTCTACCAGCGAACCCAGTGATGAAACCTCGTCTAGGACGTCCAGCGTGGCATCTGGAGACCCTGGACCCTCTACCTCCTACACTAGTCCCCCTTACAGCTCTGAGATTAGAAGCATGGGTGAAACCTCCGTAGAGACATACGGAGGACTGTCCCCAATCACTGAGGTGGACGAGGACGCCATCTCTTCTGACAAATCTTCCGTCAGCGGCTCTGGATCAGCAGCCGGCAGCGCATCAAAGGGCTCGGGAGAAACCGAAGAAACGTCAGATGCTGATTCAGAGTCTGAAGGAAATGCAACTGCCTTCTAGAGAGATATATTGTCCACCGTGAAGTAAGAGTGAATAAAATCAATTACCCTCGCATGGGTGTGAAGAAATATTGCTTGCCTTACAGAGTGTTTCAAACGTCCACTTTTTCCTCATTTCCCTTGAGCAGGGAAAAGCCCTGGTGGTTTCCTGCTGCAAAATATCTGAATCTGACTCTCTTTCTTACATCTTTGACTTATTCTTCTTTCTGATGTCTCCTGTGTGTGTTTTTATGGCTTTGCTTTTTGTATAACATTATGCTCCTATTTCTGCTGTGAGACTTTGCATGTTGCAATCCTATCTGCTTTCACAATGTTTTCATGTGATGTTGAAATTATTTCTTACAGTTAGTATACAGTATTTCCGTAGAAAACCAAGGTTTCATACCATAAATTCAGTTCTAAAAGAGAACAGAGATACTTTATCATAAAAGGGGGTTTATTCTCATTTTATGAATATATTCTTTCACATTTGTCAGAATATGAACATTTTTAGAAGAATAACTCTTCATAACCAGCCGCATTGAGGAAGAAATGTCTAAGTGCATCGTAGTCCTCACAAGAGTTTTATTTATTTTTTTCTTTTGATTATACATCACAGCATTCTTTAGATGTATAACACTGATATCTGCAGCGTTTTGTTTGCATTTTTTATTTCACGGAAACTTGTCTATACTGTACCGTCTGAAAAGAACATTATACTGACCCTGACTTCCTCACCTTCTCCTCCTCAGCCCGGGAGAAAGAAACGGATTAAGCTGGTGGTAGATCGGGAGAATGAGACCAGCTCCACGGGAGAGGAGAGCACTACGGAGACCCAACGGAGCAGACTCCCCAACAGCCACAGCAACATCAACGGTAACATCTACCTCGCACAGAATGGCACTATCGTCCGAACTCGGCGGCCGCCCCATCTAAACAACCTAAAGATGGGCTCTCCGTGCCGGCTGGGTAAGCATTTTGAAAAACTCAACAAGTTGGGTGTGACTCATGAAGAACCCCCTCCGGTTATTAGCATTGAGGGTTCGGGAAACGACACAGAAAATGGAATTGGTACATGCGTTCCATCTAACATGGATGTCAACCTCAACACTCGGTCCTCTTGCGGCTCCCTCGGGTCCACAGTTACAGATCTTAAAAGTTTCGGGTCCAAAACCAGTATTGCCAAGGCCATGATTGACAGAAACAGCAGTGGGCCATGTGTCAATGACCAGCAAGAGACTTCTGTTGACAACCACAAGAACAGTCGGGAGACACTGGAGTCCCACAGTGACCACACATTATCAGATGAAGAGGAATTGTGGATGGGACCCTGGAACAGCCTGCACATACCAATGACAAAACTCTGACTGGCCATGCAGAAAATGAATTTCCTTTTTGTTATTTTCCTATCTTTGTCATGTTTCTGTTTAGGAAATGATCATCAAATGTGTGCCTCAGCTGGATAAGCTCCAATCACTGTCCATGACAGGTGATTGCACTTAGATTCAAATTTTATTTAATCATAATACGTTAAAGCTTACTTGTACCAAGTGTTTATCACCGGCAGGGCTATTAGAGATGGGAACATAGAGCTGAAAGGCAATGAGTGCCTCAAAGAAATATGAAATTTTATGTGAACCGTGCTTGACTGTAATTTTAAGGCTTTATTCGACACAGAAGACGGGCCTCTTTTCTTGAGTGATTCCTTGTTTTGCTTTCTTCTTTCAGTTTCTTTTTTTGTTTTGTTTTGTTTTAATCCTGAAACAGATCACAGAGATTGTTGTTCATTTTACTATGATACTGAAGATATTTACAGAGAAATCATGGTGAACATATGAAGAAATTGTGAATTATATAGTCTATGATACAGTAAAAGAAACTTATTTTGCTAATGGCATTTTACTTGCAAATAATCCAGATTGTCATTAATTATTTTATGTTGTGATCACTTGGCAATGTTTTTGGAAAATTTCTGAAAAATATATGAAATTATTTTTGTCTATTTTGTATCTAACAGAGATGGAGAGTCTAACATATGACATTAAAGACATGATATCCACGTGACTGTCATCGCTGTGTTTCGACAGTGAAACATGACAGTGTGACATAGTGTTTTTATATGAACGTTTGTACCGACAGAATGTGGTATTTTTAATCCCTTTACATGATGCAGAATCGCTCTGTTCATGTCATGATAATGAAAGGAATACCAAAAAAATGTATCACATTCAACAATAAAGCTCTAACCTATTTTACTGTGTATGGTGAAGTATAATTGCAGGCACTGACAGTTCCTGCAACTTTGCCTTATATTCAATGTGAAGGTATGACGTTAATAGCAGTTCTCACTTTTGAAAACATTAAAGTACATCATTGTGTGCCTTTATAGCAATGTTATGTTTGGGGGTTATAAAGATACACTTATTGAATTGTATAATAGGCGCTGAAAGTTGGAATATAATGTAGCACACAGCAGTCGAACTCTGCAGTAATCTCATAACAATGCGGCGTCTGCAGAGAGAGGTCTCTCAGAATGAGGCCTTCTCTGTGGAGTGGGCTTTCACTTTAAAGAAGAGCAATGACAGTTCACCAACCATGTGGATGTGCATGGCGACTGTATCTCTAAAAAGCTGTGGGAAGTATGCCTGGAAGTGCAAGAAAATGTCAGTATTGAGCCCACTTTCTCACCTGTCTACACAAACTTCAAAAAAAAAGAAGAAGGGGCAGAAAAGAAAAAAAAAAAAGAAGCTTTTAACAATAATTGTAACCTAAAAGGCAAAATGGAAACAGGAAATCGCAGCTACATTCTCAGCTTGTTTCTTGGTTTATCATAGAGTGACACATCTTACACATCCAGAATGGCATTTACAAAACATGTCCTGCAGTCAATCAAAAAATGAGAATGCCAGTCAAGTTCACAGAGTTCTTTACAGGCTGACGTTGTGAAAGGAGCAGGAGCTGAATGCTGGAGTGAAATAGCTTGAAAAGATGCTCGGAAAATAGGTCAGGAGGGAACCTTGTTTCCACCACAACAAGCCCAGTGTCCTAAAGGATCAAAATAAACCTCTGCACTGTGTTGATGGGGAAAGAAGAAAAAAAAAAGGAAGAGAAAAATATGGAAGCAAGACCTGCAAAAAAAACCATGACTATCAACCTGCTTTCTTTGTCATTTGTGCCCCTTGTGTTCTAGTGTTCACTGTCTATCAAGAGCCACCTGTTCCACTCTGCATGCACGTTCACAGGAACTACCCCTGCTGACAGGAGAACAGCACTCCACAAACCCAGTTCGGGGCACGATGCTCTTCTAGGGTACAATATCATGTGGTGGTGTTTTTTTTTTAGAACTCGTGCTCTATGTACTATTTAACAAAACCTCAAAATGAAAACCACATTATTAACCAGAGAGATAAATAATTAGCATTGGATATGTAACGCATCTGTGCCCTCGTCTTCTCAAACACAAGGACATACCTCACAAATCTCTTTTTGTAAATCTCTCCTGATGAATTGGATTAAAACTGGCCCAATAAATAATGGAGGCATTTCTACTAAGCATTTCCGTCTCTCATAGGATTACTTCCAAAGCCTTTTTTTTTTTACTCTTCACCCTGATCATTTCACTTAGTAGATTAAATTAGAGCATTAAGAATGGACATATCCCTCTTAATGAATGTTAAGCTCGAGAGAACCCACAATCCAATGTCTCCTCAAATGGGATTTACTTGTCATTTGCATTTATTATTTATAGAGCCAAACTGTCTAAAGATGATGAAACGGTGCACACCTACAGGAAATTTCTAAGCAGATCTGAAGTTTCATTACTGTTAACTGTCACAACAGTAAAAGGCTTCTAGATGGAGCGAGAGAGGGGTGAAGAAGAGAGCCCTAATTTGCAAATATGCAATGATCTTTTTGTTCTGATCTCTAGAAAACCACGGCAATTCATGAACAGGTACATTAAGGAGAACTGAGGCTATGATAAATTAAACCTGTGTTATTATACCTGGATGAAAATAAGATTAGAAAATGTGAGGAGACATTAAGTTTTTAGAAATCTTCTAAACCCCAGCTGGCCTCAACCTGCACAAGGTATTGAGCAAGACATTTCAAAATCTGGTGCACGAACACTTTCAAGATGCCATGAGCGCCTGTCTCGTAAGAAAAATGAGATGTACGCCTCTGAAGAGGATTACTGCAGTAAGCGGCTCTCTTATGAAGAATTAGTTTGGTAGATGAGATATAAACTCGCAAATATAATTTACATCTCTCAATCCATCTTCATCCTAATGGGACTGTTTTACATGTTATTACATTTTAAGTTATGCAAGGTGCCCCCTTTGTCTTTTATTGTCTGCCACTCCATCTTTAGTTAAGTACTTTAAGTGATCTAGAAAACAGCCGTAGACAAATTACATCACTTAGATCATTTTATTTCAGTTTGAATAGTGAATAATTGATTAAATTCACTACTTGGTAACATTAAATGTCCGTTATTGTCATACTGTGACCTTGACTTGCACACATATATCATCCAACTGAAATCCTTTTTGTGTTTTATCCATACTTCTCAAAATGTCTTCTGATGAGATTCATCTTTAAATGGTTAGCTGGGTATAGAAAGATTAGATTAATGGAGATAAGTGCATACATTTCTCCTAAGTAGTTGAGATTGTAGCAGTTGAACAAATGTTGCAGACATCTGCAAGTGACTGCATGCTTCAAAAAAAGCTAAGTCATGCTCTGGGCATTGCTTTGTGGATGGCAGTGTTGGACAGTCAGTCCACCCTTTGATCATGAACGAGATGTCTCACAACTATTGGTAGGGTTGTCATGAGGTTTTATACAGATATTCATGGTAACCAAAGGATGACTACATGTGACAGCAAACAAGTGCTGGATGTTTGCCATGAATTTAGCACGTTTATTCCAATCTGAAGTTTTTTTTATCCGTCACCAGCATCAGGTCAACATTTAGATGTCACATTGGGTTACAACCTGTGCAAATAATTCCAATCAGCTGCACATGTATTTGTATTTTACCACTATTTAGCGTGCTGAAATACTAAAAAAAGTAGTTCCCATCTCACTTTTACTTCTATTGTGCCACAGTATAGATTTTCAATCTAGTCGGAAAATTAGTTTTTGTGACCTTCACTAAATGGTCCAATGTGGCCTCAGCTTGCCCTGTCAAGAGTATGGGACAACCTACAGTGAC